AGTGGTGGGTGCCCAGCTGAGGCCGTGCAAAGAGTAATTGGAGGCAGCACAGATCACACTAACGACAGCAAATCCAATTAGCCAAGGGTTAAGCACTCTGCTGATGAAAACCCGGGCTTCAAACTGCTGAGCCAGCAAAAGCTCTGCACTGATCAATGTCCTGTAAGTAATAGTGCTTGTTCTTGGGAGCCCGTTACTTTCTGTTTCAACAGTGAAATACATTTCACTTGGCAGGGCCCTGCTGAGCATTAATAAACATCATCCCGGTTTAGGTCTGGTACCTAAGGATGCTGCTCTTCCAGGCTCTCCCGCACACACAGTTAAACACAATGAGGAATAATCTCCACTCACATCTTGCTGGCAGCTGCTAGTAAATGGTCCTGGGAGTACTTAGTGAGCGAGGAGGATTCTCGAGGTCGTATCTATAGTGTAGGGGAAATAACGCTGTGTCTAGATCGGTGTAATCCAATCTCCGGTTTATGGAGCTGGCCTGGGAGGCACAGAGAAGCAGTCAGTGAGAGCTGGCTCCAGCTCACCTGCGCCCATCATCACCTCTGCAGGGTCCATGGGTGGGTCTGAGCGTCACCGTGGATTCTCTAGTGGCTGCTAAGGGTTGTGCCTCTTCTCCATGTGCCACCCCCATCCTGCCCCATATTGCTGATCCTCGTTCCTCCCAACCACTCTGGGCATGCACCAGAAGGTTCAGAAACATCTAAAAGCAGAGGCAGCTCCATGAGGAATCAGTTTGTTCCCCTAAATTACCTCTCCCCACCCCTGTTGTCTACACGGGACCTGCTGAACACTGCTGTTTCTTGGGATGAGGCTGAGCAAATGCTGCCATACAAACAAGCAGGGGGAAAAACCCAAATCAACAATAAACCCCCTCAAAACACAACCCCCTCGGAAAGGGCTCTTCATTCCTCCCCATTCATTGCTGGACATGGCTTGTCTTGGTGCCATTTAAACCCCAAAGGTGACTGCTTCCAAATAGTGATGCACAAAACTGGCCTGAAGGTGTGAGGAGCCAAATGCTGCCCAAGTGAACGCTTCCTGGAGGGGGAGAGGGGCTGGAGAGGATGGGGGACCATGGTGGCATCACCCCAGTGTCCCAGGCTGAGCCTGTCCCAGCTAAATGAGCTGCTCCAGTGAGGCTCTTCATCAGTGCTCCCATCCTGCTGTGTGGGTTCAGCTTCCCAGGGCACATCCTGCAGTGTTAGATAGGCAGTTAGGACCAGGCAGTGGCAGGGATGCTGGGGAAAGCATCGCTTTGGCTATTCCAGAGTGATGGGTGTGCTGCATCCCAGGCCTTTGCCCTGAGTCCCTGCTCATGGAAACACCAAGACACTCCAGGTGAAAAAGGACCCCAAAGCCCTACATTCAGAAATGAACACATTTCCTTTTGACACGTTTTCTTGGCTTTGATCTTTTGATCTGAAGTTTATTCCCCTCTGACACATCCTTTGATCGCGTGTATTTAGTTTTTGCCTTAAAGAGCTGGAAATCAACCCAAGCCCTTTTGATTTTGACTGGAGCAGAGCAGGAGCACAGATGATGGCTCTGGATAGTCAGGGGGTTTTCTCCCTGAATCGTTCCAGGTCTTGGGAAGAAGAAAAACCCCAAATAAATCTGTCATTGGCACAGCTGAGAAGGAGATATTGAGCGTGTGGGGGTCCCCGGGGGGGTTGGCCTTGGTGCAGCTCTACCAACACCTAGAGGTGCCAAAATGCCCCCAAAGAAAGCTGGTGGATGGGTGCAGGCAAAGGGCCTCAGGGTGCTTGGCAGAAGGAGGATGGAGGAGCACCCCTGAAGCCAGAATGAAGCCCTGGAGCATGGAAATGATCCCATCTGCAGAAGCTTTCAAGGACTCGATCTCTCAGCATGGCTCGGAGGGATGGAGAGGCAGCAGGTCCCGCAGCATGGGGAAAGCTGCCTGGCTCGTCACATAACAACATTGCCATTGAGCTCTTCCTCTCCCCCTCCAGAAACGCTGGGCCCTGGGGGATTTTTATAACTCACAAGCTTATTGTTGCTATTTCCTTCTGGTACTTTGCTGGGTTTTGGCTGGCTGGGCCCACACTGGGCACTGTATGGGTTAACCACCCAGACCCAGCAGCGCTTGCTCGGTGAGGAGGAGCCCACACAAGAAGCCTCCTAGGTCATCTCCATTTCAGCCAGGCCAAGCAGAAGTTAAGGTCTTGGAAAGCATTGGAGGCATGAGAGAGACAAGCCAGGGTCTTCCAGGAGTGGCAGCAACCAGTTCAATGCCATATCACCAAGAAACATCAGTTCTGGTCCCACCACGGCTGACAGCATCGCCTTGCACATGTGAATACAACCAGGGCACAAGCACACTCTGGCACATCTATGCCCCCATACAGCAGCTCCCAAACCCCCTTGGAAGCAGCTGAATCGTTTCATCAGTGTGTTTTAGAGCCATCTTTCCCACGGCTCTCAGTTCTAGAGCTGGTTTATTTGCTCTCCGCACTCAAACACAATCTGTTTCGAATCACTGCAGCGCCCACGTTTGCCAGGCCCTCTCTCTATTACCTGGTTTTGTATTGAGGCTTTGCATTGTGGGTTATGAGCAGGAGAGAGCTCTCCATTCGTTAGTGTGGAAGCAAAGTCTCTCTAGGGCAGCTTCCTTGGGCTCTTATGATTAGGTTCCCAGCTAACGGCTGTGGTTGAAAGGGCATAGGTATCATAAAACCTGCCCTCCTTGTGCTTTTGGCTCTGGGGCATCTCTAACTTTAAAGACCCAAAAGCACCCTCCTGGGGTTGTGAAGTTACTGGAAACCTGTTGCTAACGACAACAGCTCCCAGTGCAGGGATCATAGAATCACAGAACAGTCAGGGTTGGAAAGAACCTCAAGATCATCAAGCTCCAACCCCCCTGCCATGGGCAGGGACACCTCACACTAAACCATGGCACCCAAGGCTTCGTCCAACCTGGCCTTGAACACTGCCAGGGATGGAGCATTCACAGCCTCCCTGGGCAACCCATTCCAGTGCCTCACCACCCTAACAGGAAAGAGGATGCCCTATTCTCTTCCTCAATGGCCCTGCAAATTGCCTAATGGAGCCAGGAAGTGTTTGTTTCAGAGCCCATTGATGGCAAATTCCTCTGTAACCACGTTGTGAATTCTTCTGCCTTTCCCCAGCAAACCCTTCAGTGCTTCCAAAATGGTGTTTTTCTGAAGGAAGGGATGTGGCATCCAGCTCCAAACCTTCCTCCCCAGCAGAGAGTGGAGAAACCCATGAACCCAAGCTGAAAAAGAAACGAAACCAATGGTGCACAGGGGCTGTGCAACACTCCTCACAAGTGCCCTGTCTGTGATTGTGGTTGTGGCTAACCAATGGTAGGAAAATCCAGCTCCTTCCCCCTTCCCTGACCCTCAGGACCATCCCACCTTTCAAAGCCCCTGCATCCCAGCCTGATCCCATGCTCTTCATGTGGGTTAAATCCTAATAAAGGGAGCAAAGCCCCTTTTCCCCCTCCTGGACCACAGCACACAAAGCATCACCCACCCTTCCTGATATGCAGAGCAGAACGCATCCAGGCTGGCTGTGGGGAGCTCCAGCCAGTTTTTGTTCTCATTTTTCCTCTTCTTCCCCTTTCCCCCCACTCCCAGCACCATGTGATCTATAGCAAGATAACAGCTTCAATTGCTCCAAATTGCTTATTGAGGACTCTGTGGTAAATCAATGATTTTAAATGGGATCACAGAATAGCAAGCCCAACAACAGTGGAACAGAAGAAATAAATGGAGCCAGTTGGCAGCGAGGAAAGCTGAGCTGAGGGTATTTATACTGCTGCTGGGGGTGGGCACTGGAGTTGTATCCTGTGGGATACAGGAGACAGGATCCACTTTGCTTCCTTGCAAAGGGCAATGAAACTGAGGCATGGGTGAGTGCACACCCCAAGCTCTGCCCATTGGGCTCCATGGCCATAAATTGGGTTAAAAACTCCCTGTATGTGCATGCAGGTCCCTGTGCATGGTCCATGGTCCATGTCCCAGCATGTGTTTGCAGACAAGGCCGAATCCCCACCGAGTCCATTACTCTTCCCCTCCAAATTTAACTTCTGGGTGAAAATACCCCCAGTGCTCTCAGAACAAACAGCTTGTTGGTTGCTACCAGAGCACACGAGTTATCACGTCCTTAAATAGCCATTCTCCTGCTTTTAAGTGCTCAGGTTCTTGCAGTGAGTTAGTGAGAGCAGAAATGCTGTCACTTAGCAACCTCCCCACTTTGGAGGATGCAAAGAGAGGTGGCGATGGGGTGTTTTTGTCTTCCTTCTACTGGATATTCCAACTCAGTTTGGTCCTGAAATTTCTGCCTGTGTATTTGTGAGACAAGACACAAATGAAGATGCAGGCAAACAAAAGCACCATTTGACATGTCTGTAAGTGGATGAATGGACGCTTTTCCCTTCAGGTTTTTCTCTCCCCCTTGATTAATGAATTTCATTTACTGCATTAACAACCATCCCTTCAGCTGCAGGGCCAAGGCAAGAAGGGGCCCTGCCTCAGCGCACGCCTAATAGGCAGAGATGCAATGCACGGAGGAATGGACAGCCAAGCCTCAGTGCTGCTCACAATGTCCCACTACTTCAGTTTGGTGGGCATCCCTTGTGCCTTTCGGGTATGGGATGAAAGAAGACCTACAAAATCATAGGACAAGTTTTCTGTTGCTCTCCACGCATTTACAATCTCTGTCACCTGAATCTGGAGCACTTCAGTCTTTACAAGGCTACTGTAAAATGACTGGAAGAGTTAGGCATGACATGTGAGAATCCAAAGGCAGGCTCAGGAGAAGATCATGGTAGTGCTGGGGCCATGTGGGTAAATTGACATCAGTTAGCTGCAGGGTGGGAGAAAAAGTAGGTTATAAAAAGCATTTAGAGTGTCAGGGTCTTGTGTGGACATGGGGTGGGTCTGATGTGGGTTTCACCCAGGGAAAGAGAAGCTGGATGGAGCTCAAGGCGCTTGGCTCTAGCTCAGGTTAAAGGCAACTGAGGATGAACATCCCCAGTGGTGAAGGGTGAGGCTGTGATTGCAGCTCCCAGGTAGGACATTGGCTCTGCTAACATCCCTGCTGCCTGAGCATCCCCAGACAACACCACAACAGTGCCCTCAGGCCTGGGACACTGCTGGAGTTACCAACAGGAGCAGCCCAGGAGTGCAGGACAAGTGATGACGGAGATGCTCTGGTCCCTCTTGGGTTGCTGGCTGCTGTGTTGGTCCCACTCCAACACATCTCTGAGGGAGATGGCTCTAAAAGAGGTGTCTGAACCACAGCCCCCATTCTGCTTTAGTTGACCACTTATATATAGGGAGCAAAACGCCAGTGACCTTGCAAGTACAGCTGGAACAGGCACCACTGCAGAGCACCATTGGTGTCTCTTATGCTACTGCTAAAGAACATTCCTAATAGTTACTTGTTGGTTGAGAGGCAAGAACTTGCCTGTTACACACAAAGTGCAATGAACTGGATTAAAAAAGCTCTGTGCAGGGCTGGATTCAGCAAACTGGGCCCATCCCAAAGAGCAGTTAAGCTCATGCTTAACTTCAAGCAGGTCCTTCTGCCTCACTGACTCCAGATTTAAGGATATCCCTAACTCTGTGCCCTGCTCTGCACTTGATTTATTGACTGATTTGTTTAAAGACATAACAGCATTTATGGCAGTTTCAGCTTCAGAGACCTGTCCAAGAATAGTTTTTATGAACAGAGACAGGGACAACATCTAACTCAATTATAAACTGACCTTAGAAAAGCCATCAGCTCTGCAGCATGCGGAGATCTCACCATGGGCATGCCTGTGCCTTCTCCTGCAGCATCACAACCTGGTTTGCACTTCCCTTCATCGCCAGGGTGGTTTTTCCCCTCTGGATACTTGATGTTGGACCTTAAAGAGAGGACTGCAGGGACAGAAAGGGTAGTGGAGGTCAGAGAGTATCCCTGCGAGGAGCTGCACCCACAGCAATTTGAATTCCCACCCAAAGGAAGATCAGGGATGGGAGGCCTTAAGGCCCAGGAAATGCCACAGTTCCTGCCAGGGCTTTGGGTTTTGCTGGTGTTGAAATAAACTCCTTGACCTGACAGTGAGCAGGATGGGTCTCACCAAGGGAGCAGCCCCATGTGCCAACCCCTGAGCTGCTGCTCACGATGGGGACAAACCGAGCCAAGTCTCCTCTCACTTTGCTGCTCTCCTTGCCTGCAAATATTTAGAGAGAGCAGCTGTAAAAGCACCTCCGAGAGAAGGCAGCAGTGAAATTACATCAAGCCTTGGGGTTCAACTGATTGAAGGATCCATTTCCCAAGCTGATACAGCTAAACCAGCAGCAGAATCCTCGTGCACTGAGCAGCCAGTGGAGTTAGATCAATTTTTGCCCTTTTAACTGTCCAGAGAGCTGGGAAAAAGCCCCACAAATGTTCTGGGAATGTTTTCAGGAGAAGGGCAGTGATGGGGGGAGCAAAAGGAAAAGTGTTTGAGATGTTCTGTGCAAACAAGCACTGATGGAAGAACACCAGGGCAGTGCTAACCTCGATGTGGGGCTGCAGCTCCTGCTGCCTGCTGGCCCTGCTGGAGGCTTCTGCATCAGGTAGTGAGAGGTGATGGTGGTCCTGGAGCTGCTGCTGTAGGGATAGAAAGGAAGAGGGAGACCGTGATTGTTGCACAAGGGCACGGCTCAAATATATAGATCTTTAAAAAAAACCCCTAAACTTCAGAGGAAAACAAACCAATCTTCCCCCCCCCCATTGATTTCCAGTCTCCCTGCCCCTTCCCAGGGGGCACATCACATCCCCCCCATCCCATGCAGTGCAGCCTGATGCGGAGCACGGACGGGCTCAGCCCCGGGGCACCTCGATTCGACAGCGAGATGAGCTCGGGTGTGTTTGCTCCAACCCGCCCTGGCACTTCTAATCATGATGAATGGCTCTGATCGTTATCTGGGTGACTTCTCCTCCTCACCCCAGCCGGCGCTGGGGGCGCGGATGCCTGACCTGCCCCGGCACACGGGGGCCAGCGCTGACACCAAGAATCGATCACGGTGATTGCGGCTATTGCTATTGCTGGGAGCAGGCACGGGGAGGGGAGGGAGGGCTTTGCTCTTCAGTAGGGATTTCCCCAGGGAACACGAGTAAATGCGCTAAAAAGCTTCCTCAATTACCCCTGTTGCACCTTCTCTGTGCTTGTCAGTGGGATGGAGGGAGTGGACAGGGCGAGGGAGGGAGCTTTGGACCCCAAACCTAAAAGCCAAAATGCTGAGTGATTTCTGTTGTAAAGCTCCCAGAGCTTCTCACCTCCCTGGGCACAGAAATCTGCTGTCGAAGGGGTTAAACATGGATGTTCCCCCTGTGAGAGACGGCAGGAGGGAGCGGGATGCAGCCTCACCCCCAAGTCTGATGGACTCACACCCCAAGGCCCTTCCCCATGGCAGAGCCTGCCATGACTCCCTCCAGACACCCTCCTTCTCCCTGGGCCTTCACAAGGACAGAGCAGGAGGGTGCCTGAGCTGCTTCATGCTCCACTCTGATATAAATGGGCTTTGGGAGTAAAAGCCTGTCCCATCCCGACTCACCCCATCACTGCTGCTGGCACAAGGGGAGGGAAGGCAAGAAGAGAACAGGAGGGTGAATACAGACTACGAATTGGTGGCTGCAGCTGAATGTGGGCACGGTGCTAGCAAGATGCTCCTCTGGCACCCAAACTGGGAGGAAAATGGATGGCAGCTCACTGCTCCCCAGCACAGTTCAGATCTGAAATAGTTCAGGGTCATAATGAGGTACAAGGTTATGCTGGACTTGAACAAACAACACAGACATGGCAATATGCTAATAAATGCTGATTTGAATTTGATGGAAGCCAGGAAGCATTATCCCAGAACGTATTAATTAGTGTGATTATAAAGTGTTTGAAAAATGGAAATGCAAAGCAGAGGCTATAAGGAAGAAAGGTATTTAAGCAGAGAGAACCTTTGAAGCTCTTCCCAGGGGGATGTGCCCATATTCCCACACCAAGGCCTGTCCTCTCCATGGGACTCGCTGTGGCATCTTCCCTGTGACCCCCCCCCCCCAAGCCGTGGCCATGCTCCCAGCTCTGAGCAACCTGTATCATGTGTTCAGATGTGATGGGGGAGCAGGAACTGCCAGCCTGGCTCATCTCCCCAAGTGATTCAGCACTGCAAAACCCCGCTTTGCTGTAAACACACCGGCAGCTCCTGCAATCATTTACTTCCCTGCCCAGATGCCTCCCCCAGGGAGCAGGATGCTGGCTTGGCTGCCGATGGGGCAGGCACGTGTTTCCCCTGAAGGGGAATAGGTTTTCAAAGTGAATCTTAAATCAGCAAGCTGACAGGCAGCCCCGGCTGATTCCCTTCTTGCTCTCTCTCGTTATTGATGTTATTTTACCCCCAATAATCCTCGCTGCCATTCCCTCCACACATACACACACACATACACCCAATTCCCCAGATCACATATCAAAGTCATCCTTCAATCACAAAACTGAGGTTTCCTCTCTGCTGCAGAAACCTTCCCAGTGCCTTTCCCTGAGGATGGCAGCTCGTGAAGGAGGGGAAGATGTGGCTCTGCCATAGAGACTGAGCATCGCACTGGGACAGAGCAAACCCAGGCTTCCCCCTGCCACAGTGCAGGCACGGAGTGCTGTGATGGGGTGCAATACCCCAGGCTGCTTTACAAACAACATCCTTGAGCTCCTTTGATGCAGATCTGAGCAAGGAAATGATGCTCAGAGGGCTCCCATGCCCAGTAAGGACCATCCTGCCCTTCCCTGATCATTACATGACCATCCCAAAGCAGATTTCTCTGCCACAGAGACAACCCTGACCACAGCAGGGCTCACCACAGGTGATGCTACCTGGGCATGATACTGCTTTGCACCCCATGGAGTGATGCACCGTCTGGATGGGCTTGGGATGGGGAGAAGCAATCAGGTCTGGGATTATTTCCCCAAAAGCCCTAGGGTTTTAGACATTCAGATTCATAGACGTTTGCTGAGGAGGAAAGGGCAGTGGAAATTCATAGCTGGATAAACGGCTCTAGAGCAGGGTGCAGGTGGGTTTTTCTGCTTGGAAATCAGTACCTGCCTCCGTGCATGTGGCTTTTAAGAGCCCAGTTACCCCGGCTTTCACCACCAGGAACACCCACCCAGCCAAGCTGGCATCCTTCACACCAGAGCTGCCCCGGTCCCAGGCATCGCCTTCCTGTCCCTGTCCTCCAAAATGATTTAAAGATAAACTGAAATGTTCCCGGCTGCCACCTCCTTGGGAAAGGCGGGTGAAGGTTAAAAATATCCTCCTGGAAGGAAAGAAAAGCCCCATCTTATAAAAAACCAACCCAAAGCCAACCGAACCCATCAAGTCTCCAATCCCATCTTCAAAGCAGAAGGCATCAAGGGTGCCTTTCCACCCCCTGCAGTAAATCCTTACCCTTTGTGTCTTTCCTGTGAAGTTCCCCATGCACAGTTCATACTTATTCCCCCTCCACCATGGTTTTGCCCCTCTCATTTTCAGGCAATGCCTACAAAAGCAGAACTGTTGCCAGCCAGCATGTAGTGATGAATCAGCCTGGGCAGCTTCGGTGCTCAGTGCAGCCCCTCATCCCTCCTGAAGCTGTGCCCACCCTCCTCAGAGGGGTTAACGTGGGGATTGAGCTCACCAGCATGAACTGGGATCTGGAATGGTTTTCCAAGACTGGAGTCACCATGAAACCAGGTCTGGGTGTCCCCTGGGGTGGCTTCATCGCTGCATCCTGCCTGGGTTTGGGCAAGGTGAGGTGATGGATCCTCCATCCTCCACTGGATAAAGCATCTGCATTAAAAGAAGCGATTCTTACTCTTTGAATATCAAACAAAGAAACCTTCCCTCAATGGCTGGAGCCAGCAGCTGCCCAGAGCCCCTTGAGCCACAATGGGAGGGTACCCAGGGGTGGCCCCACAGCCCATTGCACCTTGCTTTGCCCAAGTCACATCCTGGAGAAGTTAAAAGAGAAAGGCGCAATGTCCCCCCCAACCACAGCAGCCTGTTTGGAAGGGAAAGATCGTGATTCAAAGTGACTGCTCCTGTGGAACTTCCCTTCCGCTGAAGGAGAGGCACAAAGAAAAACCCTTTTCTTTTAGGGAAAACAACAGGGAAACCAAGCTCAGATCAGAAGGGACCATAATGGGAGCAGACAAGGCCCCCTGCCATGGCTGAGCTGACTGCTAACCAATCATTTCAGGTCAGTGCAGAACAACACAGGCTCTTCCCGCAGCCAGAGAGGTCACAGAATCATGGAATCAGCTGGGTTGGAAAAGCCCTTTAAGCTCATCCAGTCCAACCATTCCCCAGCACTGCCAAGGCCACCACTGACCCATGGCACTGAGGCCTCGTCTCCACGGGGTGTGAACACCTGCAGGGACGGTGACTCCATCCCTGCCCAATGCCTGAGCACCCTCTGGGGCAGGAATTGTTCCTCAGCTCCATCTAAACCCGCCCTGATGCAGCTTGAGGCCGGTTCCTCTTGCCCCATCCCTTGTTCCTTGGGAGCAGAGCCCAGCCCCTCCTGGCTCCATCCTCCTGTCAGGCAGTTGAAGGGAGCCCTCAGGTCCCCCCTGAGCCTTCTTTTCTCCACACTGAACCCCCCAGGTCCCTCAGCCGTTCCCCATCACACTTGTGCTCCAGGCCCTGCACCAGCTCCGTGCCCTTCTCTAATACCTTTAAACCATGATGGAAAAGCAACACTGAAGCCCTCACTGCCTCCTCTTGCTCTGGGCATCTGAGGTCAGCTCAGCCCTGCATGGAGGTGCAAGGAGATTAAAAAGGAGGCTGTTACCTTGCAGAGAGCTGCATTGGATGCGGAGGTCAGAGCATGTGAAGGAGAGAGCTGCACCCGGAGCAGAGAACCCAGTAATCTCTCTGGCACCCCGGCACAGGCTCTGCAGCAAGGCTTTAATAGACTTATCTTTCCCACAATAATGTATTTTACTTTTCCAGTGCACATTCATTATTCACAGACTTATTTCCCCACAGATTATGTGTGCTGCCTGAGCTCTGCTCTCCTGCCTGATTTTCATGATGTTGGCTCTGGTACCTACTTATTTTTACAGCATTGTCACCTGCAAACAGGTTTCTATTTAATTGCCAAAACTAATAATATGGCTCAGTGGAGATGTCAGAGGTAGGATGCTCGTTCCCTTTCAAAGTCTCTTGCCTGAAAAACACCAGCTCTTGGCACTGAAGCATCCCGCGTGCATGAGTCTGGGGGCTCTCACATCACCTCCTGCACAAATCCTCCACCATAGTGAGGGAATGCTGGGGCTGCAGCATCCAAAGCCCTGGAGATGGGGTTTGCTGGAGGGAAAGTGAGGGATATACCATGCATCAACCCCGCTGTTCATCCCAGGTTTAAAAGAGACTTTAAAAGGCCCCCCAAACCCATCTCCCAGTCAAGCACTGGACCGGAGCTCCCCAGTGCCACATGGCACAGCAAAACCCTTTGGCTTGTGCTGGCCTATATGGTCCATTCCATTACTGAAGCACTCAGACCTGGGATGACCCACGGCACAAGGGGAAAAGCTGCTTATTAAGCAAAGACATCTGTGAGGCAGGGGAGTGCTGGTGTGGTAGGATGAGCAGCATCTGCTTGGAGGCACTGAGCTCAGCCTGTAAGGCTTCTGCACAGAGCATCCGCACGAGCTGCCCTGTGGCAGCACCATTCCCACTGGGGGAAATTCCCATTTCTAGCTTTCCAACCCCTTGGCATGCTAAGGAGAAGTGTGCTCCCTTTCCATGGGTTTAGGGGAAGCCCAACACTCACCTGCAGCTATAAAGGGTGCACACAACCACTCCGCGCTCAGAGCTACCATGCACAACCGCACACACACACTGCGGTATCAAACCACCTCACACACTGGAGCTCTATTTCTGAGCTGGATCTTGGCTGCTTTGGGCATTCGGGTGTTTTGTGGAGGATGCTGATTTAGTTTCATTGCTTTCCTTCCCTGGGAGAGGAGGCTGCTTTACACTAGAGGAAGCGAGGGCTCGTGTTTGTGTGCTTGCCTTTCCGTGTTAGGGGGAAGCAGCACATGCGACTGCAAGCTGTTAAGTGCTCCAGAAGAGACACTTGGTTTTTCTCCCCAAATAGCTTGTAGGCTTTAGATGAGCTGCACACTGGGTTCAGGGGTGGATCCTCAGGCAGCAGAGAGGAGCTCAACACCTTCACCCCAACCATCACCCTTCTCCATTTGCTCAACTTCAGCCCTGCAACCCAGACGGCGAGGATGGGGTGAGAAAAGCGAAGCCTCCAAGTGCTCAATGACAGAGTTTTCCTCGCAGTTGCTTTGTCAACCCCTCCACAGTGGCCAAGCAGCCCATAGGAGCTGTCCTCCACACATCAGTCCTCATCCATCACCTTCCACTCGGTGCCCTGGTACCCTGCAGGACACTGCTGCTCATGCTCTAATCCCCAGGCACAGCCTGGCCAGGGTCCTGCTCTCAGCTCCGAGCCCTCACCTATCACCAAATCCCTGCTTTTTCTTCAAGCCTTTTGTATTATAACTCCCAAGATGTGCTTTGCCCTGAGCCATGATGCTCCCCATCCAGGACAGGCCCCTGTCCTGCTCCCCCCAGCACAGCCCTGGCTTTGCTACAGGAAGTTATCCTCACCCATAATTTCCCTCCCTCACCTTTAACCAGTGCATTATTCTGCCCACGTCCCTGCCCTGGCTCCCTGCCTTCAATGAGAGCCATAAATAAGGCATAAGGCACGCTAAAAAGGAGAAAAAGCATTTAATATTTCATTCTAGTTTGTTGCAGAGTCAAGAAGGATCTGGGAGCTCAGGATCCCTCCTCCAGCCCCAGCACTTGCTTACAGAGACAGGAGGGTGACAAAGGATGGATGCTGCTCCCCCGGGGTTAACCCTATAAAGCAGTTCTTCTTCTGCCTTCTCTTCTTGCCTGGCAGATGGCAAGTGCCAAGCCGCACATGAGCAGAGACATTGGAGCATCCTGGGAAGGGATGGAGATACCCATGAGCTGGTGAGCCCTCAAAAGAGAGATGCTGCCAAGCCCTGAGAGCACTGAGCTCTGCACCCCACAGAGGTTATTTGGCAGGGGGGGAGAGGAAGAATTATCCTGTAGCTAAAACCCATTTAACCCCCTGGTGTGAGGGCATCTCCACCACGTGGTGAGAAGTTTAGGGCTGGGTTTGGTCATTGTGACTCAATGGACTTCCTGGGGACTCAAGGATGGGTCATTCATCACAGGCTTCTCCTGGGAGGGCTTCCAAGGCTGCAAGACCATGGGCAAGCATCCCCAGAGGGGATGCTGCTGGAGAGCTGCCATCGCTCAGCAGTGATGGGCTGAGGGAGCTCAGCTCCAGAGGAACACCAGGAGAGGGGTATTTTGCCTTCTGTAAGCCTGGTTTCCTGAGGAAAAGAGCTTTATGCAATTGCACCCCCCGTGCCTGACGCAAGCAGCGTGTCTTCCCTTGTCGTTTTATACCTTAGCAGGCGAGCTGAACCAAACTTGACAGTAATAATAGGAATCTGAAGAGAATTATGTTCTGACAGGCGTGATGAGAATCCTCAGCCTGGCAGAGGAGTGAGAGACATAATTAATGACTCTGCTGAGGAAAAGGCCACGTTGTGGGTGTTTTCCTTACTAGACATCAGAGACTCCACAGGCAATTAGGAGCAGTCCCCAGGGGGAAAGCTTTTGCATTAACCAGCAGGGAAGCCCCAGATAAGGAAACCCCAGGCTGCAGTGGGTACACTGGGGTCTGCTGGGGCCAGCCTGGCAGAGACAGCTCTTCCCCTTGTGGGGCATCACACCATTGCTCTCCCTTTGTGGATTCTCTGGTGTCTGCTACATGGTTGTGTCACTGGGCAGCGTTCTCACCCACTCGGCCACCTCTTGTCCCATGCTTATGGCTGGGGCCAGACACAAGCTCTGGACAAGCATAGACCTGAATCCTTCCCTCCATCCACAGCCTCCATCAAGGCATCCCTGTATGTGCTGCCCTGCAATTCCCCAGCACAATCTACGTGTGCTTGGAGGACCAATGCGCTTGTCCTGCCATCTCCACTTAGCTCTGTCCAAGCATTGTACATACCTTTAATCTTAAGACATCACTTGGTACACCCAGAATCCAACTGAACGTTGCTATTGCAGCCGAGGAAACACGGGTGTGAATGCTCAGGAGATTTACTAAAGGCTTGTTTCAAACCTAAGCTTGAATCTTCCTGACATCTTTTGTTCCTTATTAAACTGTCTTAAACAGCAAATGCAAAAGCTCCTGTTTCTGTCGAGTTTATAGCAAAGTGGGTCCCCCACACGCTATCTGAGGGCTTAGTCGGACCATGTTGGGATTCAACATCATCTCCCAGCGGGAATTTGGCTTTCTTTGTCCTTACAACCTAAATGAGGTTGCCTTGGGGCACAGCAGGCTGGTGAGGAGCTAAAAGGCATTTAAAAAGCAGTACCAAATAGTCCCATCTGCTGCCTCCCTCCTGCGATCTCACCTGCATCAGCTGGAGGGAAAGGCTTTCTTTGCCTCCAAGATTACAAATTCCCTTTCTTCCCCTTCATGCCCCTTATTTCAGTAGCTGGGAACAGCACTGCTTTGCAGTGATGCATCCTGTCTCCTTTCCATTTCCTTCCAAGTTATAGAGGAAATAACTTGCTCATGCTGCTGGCGGTCCCCAGGCAGCTCCAGAGGCTCCGTTTTGAAGCCAAATTCCCCCTTTAATGGGGTGAAGGACCAAGGGGCTGGGGGGATTTTCCTCCAACAAGTGGTTTTCACCAGAGCTGTTCATGGACTGTGGGTCTAT